TGCTTGTCACAGCCCAGGAACAACAAATGTAGCCTGTCGTCGTCTGTCACAAGACTTATTTATGAGATAATCACACCACTACACTTGAATGCAAGCCCCCCTGCGTGCATGAATTGGTGAGCTGTGGCAACACATATATGTATCTAACTCAGGGCTGTATACTATACACGCCTAATTATTCGAGACGAGCAATTAACTTATTATTCGCTACTCGATCATACAATAAAAACAAATTAATGTGCGAAAACATTTCACAGTTCAAGTCACATGGCGTTCATCGCGTGTCTCAGCTTTACGAGCTTGGATTCGTTTAGCAACAGGCAGCGCATTTTATTAAAGCTATACGCAATTTGAATTTGTGTAAGCTGCCCACTCGCAGCAGATACCGGCAAAGTACCTCCATTTCATAAAAAGCCGAGTCAGCTATCAGAAAACTTGCGAATCCATGCACGTGTTTTTATTGCCAGTTATAACATTTTGTTTTTGGCCTGGCTTACTAGATTGCCTCGTTTGGAATGTGATAAGATAGCGCTGGGTGATTAAAAAATAATTTCATATGCACTGAATATTGTTGCGTATTTTCAGCATTTTCTTCTTTGTTTTTTCAAATATATTACTTAGACTAGTATTTTTGTGTTGTAAAATTTTCATATTTTGTTTTTAATTTCCTAGAATCGTTTGTGCTTGTCAAAAATTTGAAATAGCTAAGACCGTCTCATAAATAATTAAAGTATAATATTAATAAATATTGTAGTTCGAAAAGGGTTACCCGAGAGATATTAAAAAAAAAAAAACCCTTAATAGTTCTTTGAATAATATTCTTAAATTTAATCGGTTACTTTTAGGCAACGGCGTCGTTATTCATTTGCCTTCGCTGTTCGATGAAGTGCTGAAGAATGAAGCCAAGGGATTGCAGCAATTGGAGAACCGTTTGATCATCTCGGATCGGGCACATCTGGTGTTTGACTTTCATCAGCAAGTCGATGGTATGCAAGAAGCTGAAAAGGGTGGCAAATCCTTGGGTACCACCAAAAAGGGAATTGGCCCGGCATACTCAAGCAAGGCCACCCGCAATGGCATTCGCGTGGGCGAGCTGCTGGGTGACTTTAACTTGTTCAGCGAGAAGTGAGTGGCTGAATTTATATTGCTCATAGCTTAATTCATGACTAACATAAATGATTAATACAGATTCAAATCAATTGTGAACACACATTTGCGATTGTTCCCATCGATTAAGGTTGATGTGGACGCCGAGCTGGCGAGGTACAAGGACTACGTGGATAAGGTGAGGCCTTATGTCAAGGACACAATTTGTTTCTTGCACACGGCACTGCGCAACGGCAAGACGATTCTGGTGGAGGGCGCTAATGCAGCCATGCTGGACATTGATTTTGGCACTTATCCCTATGTGACCAGCAGCAATTGCAGCATTGGCGGTGTGCTGACCGGTCTGGGTTTGCCACCACAAACAATTGGTGAGGTCATTGGCGTTGTCAAGGCATACACGACGCGTGTGGGCGATGGTCCGTTCCCAACGGAACAATTGGATGTAAGCAAATGCCTGGTCAACGTGTAAAGGTGCAACTCATAAATATTATTTACTATGCAGGAAATTGGAGATCTACTCCAGACCCGAGGCTTTGAAATTGGTGTGACAACGAAGCGAAAGCGTCGTTGCGGCTGGCTGGATATTCCACTGCTCAAATACACGTCACTGGTTAACGGATACACTTGCATTTGCCTAACGAAGCTGGATATCCTAGACACGTTGCCTGAAATCAAGGTGGGTGTGAGCTATAAGCGCAGCAATGGCGAGAAACTGGATCATTTCCCCGGCACCATCAGCGAGCTGAGCGATATTGAGGTGGAATACGCAGTGTTGCCGGGCTGGCAAACGTCCACTGAGCACATACGCAACTTCAAGGAGTTGCCCGAGAATGCACAAAACTACGTACGCTTCTTGGAGAGCCAATTGAGTGTGCCAGTTCGCTGGGTGGGAGTTGGCAAAGGCCGTGAATCTATAATTAATGTACACTAGTTAGCCATACATACTATGAATATGCGTATATGAGAGGGAAACGCTTTAAAATCCACTTAACCCCCTAACCAGAGATGCACCTAATTGTGAGTACACTCTGGGCGTTTATCTACAAACTTATCCGTAAAGTAATATCGATATCGACACTAATTTGGACACAAACTTTTAGCGTTCTTAAGTTTTAATTTTTAACTTAATGGACAACATACACTTTTTATTTAACGATTTACCAAACAAAAATCGCACAGGATTACATTTTCGTTTTGTTGAGACGTACTTAGCTTTTAAGATCGTCAGGTAAAGTTTTAATTTTGATATGCATAAAGATAAACAGATATTTTTATTGTACACAAACTAATTAACGTTGATTTAATATTTAAATACAACATTGTGCTTTGACTTATATAATTTTTACTGTAATTTATATGAAGATCTTTGGTTATTGGTCCCGCTTCAGTCGCAAATTAGTTGAGAATGCGCAATAAAAATAAAATAAAATAGTCGAAAAATTGGAGTTTGATTTGATTTGAACACTAACCACTGTGGTTAGTGATTTGAATACACGTTTTCGCTGTGAATGGGTAAGGCGCGTATTTTACTTGTGCTGCCACATATGCATTTGACTGAGTGGCAACGCTGAACAAAGCTGATGCGCGTTCCGCCGTGAGTGGCACTCTTCCCATTTCGTTTTCAACCAGCAAGTTAACTGGTTCAGCGCTGCTCAAAATACAAAGATTTGACTATCTCGACCAGATAAATTGCTAATATAATGGTAAGTATTAAATAAATAATATTTATGTAGTATGGAATTGTGTATCATTGCGTTTTTAGCAACGCTTTTGTAAATAAAATCCATACACGTGCTATGATTCCGTATGTAACATAACCTCAAAGTAATACATGCTTCCCCACATTTGTAGGCTGCTGCTCCTAAGGATATTGAGAAGCCCCATGGCGGCGATTCTACATCCGTGCACCGCATTCGTATCACTCTGACCTCAAGGAACGTTCGCTCCTTGGAGAACGTGTGCCGCGACTTGATCAACGGTGCTAAGAACCAGAATCTGCGTGTCAAGGTAAGAGGAAGAATGCTTGCCGCGTGCGTTGCTGAAGCATAGCTGCATATGCGTATAAATGTACATGCATACATCTACATATGTATATATGTATGTGCATTTCTGTATCTTCACCGCATTTACCTGGAGGCTTCGTGCGCCTGCTTGCCGCTTAGCCTAGTCATTAATAAATGCCAGATAAAATGCATAAATTGGACATTATTTTCACACTGAAACAATTAGTGTAAAGATTTTATATGATTTATGCAACAAACGCAAATCAATTAAAAATATGATTCGTTAATTAATTATAAATATTTTTGAATTACAGGGCCCAGTGCGCATGCCGACCAAGACCCTACGCATTACCACCCGTAAGACTCCTTGTGGTGAGGGTTCCAAGACCTGGGATCGTTTCCAGGTGAGTTAGCAGTTCATCCTTGGATTCTGCTTTTGTGGGCAGATCAGATATCGTGCTTTGGCACAATCTGCCATTGTACAGTATCACCGATTTGCCCAGAGTAAACGTATTCTCATAGTCCACTTTGCTGGTAACCCACACAATTTGGCTCTCCGAATTCGACAGTACAATTAAATTCATAATTGACACAGGTATAAAAATTCATTAAATAATTAATTTATTTTCTTCTCGTTCGTATTATATTATAGATGAGAATCCACAAGCGTATCATCGATTTGCATTCGCCATCTGAGATCGTGAAGAAGATCACCTCCATCAACATTGAGCCCGGAGTAGAGGTTGAGGTTACCATTGCCAATTAAAATCGGCTAACGAACTTTTCTCTTACCATTACGAAAAGTTTCGTATTTCAATAAAAAACAAAAAGAAAACAAACTTTCCATAAAACTGATTGTGAACTTTATTGCGTTTTTGCATGCATGTTTTAAATAATTACTGGAATGCGAAGTATGGATGTTTCTTGGGCTAATAATAGTCCGGCACTGGTGCACATGCAATTTTAACAAAGTCAGCATAGCGCACGGTGCTGTGATTATTAACATTAGCTTCCCTGAAGATATTATCCACTTCACGCACGGACAGACCTTCTCCCCAGTTTTGTAGCAAATTGCGTAGCTGCCTTGCCGATATGGTGCCCTTATTTTGTGGATCAGCTGCTTTGAATGCGGCAATCACTTCACCTGGAAGATTCTCCACTGAGGAGTGCTGGTGCATGATATCCAGAAAATCTGCGAAGCTCATTTTACCATTCTTTTGCTTGAGATATGATACCAATTCTTGAATTGTCGGCGACAATCCCAAAGAGCGCATAATCACCTGTTGAATAACCGAGTTATATAGTGGTTTCCCTTTGGATTAAAAGTGACTAATATTTACCGTTAACTCGTCTAAGTTGTTAATTTGGCCCGAACGAGCAAATAGATAAAAACACTCACGGAATTCTGAGTGAAAAAAAAAATATAGATAAGAGTATTATAGGTATGAGCTCATGCTTGCTAAATGTTTCACATTTACTAATACTTACCATCGATGTCCTGTTCTTTAAAGTAGCGAGCCTATGTATGAAAGAAAGTAAATTCAAAAAGTAATTAGCATAAATATTAAAATGGGAAATGGGGACAACCAGTCAAGTGGAAAGTAGTTTCATAATTTTCACATTGGGTATATTAGAAACTTTTAATTACAACATTTACAAAAATCACATCCATTGGCAATTTTTTATATACTTTACCATTTATATTATTGTTATTTTTAGCAATTTATGCGAAAAAATAAATAGTAAATAAACTGAAGAAAACTCAAACAGGTTGTGGACAAAGTTTAGAGCGTTGCCACCATGCCAAAAGTTGCCGATAACGAAGTCGATAGCTCTTATACCTGTGCAACAGCTGTCGCGCCGTGCTACTGACAAAAGGTGAAGAAGCAGAATAAATTTGTGTACGTGTGTGTTTTGATAGCTAGCTAGCTACGTGGTGATTGTGCGTGCCACCAAATTCGAAATCCTCGCAAATAACACTAGCGCTTCCACACAAATGCATCTATCGGACTTTGTAATAGCAGCAATGCTGCTTGCCCTCGTTGGGCATAGTAGTGCCCAACGTGTGGCACCCGGCGTAAATCCCCAGCATTATGTGAGTACTTATATATGTTGCATTTTGTTATATTGTGCAACCAGCTGGAAGCTAATGTCTAACTGGCTTACGTCTTTTTGTCATGACCAATAGCAGCAGGTGCCCCACCAAGTGCCGCAACACCACCAACAGCCGCCGCCACAATACCAGCAACATGGAGCGCCCGGTGTGCCGCCGCAGCAATATGTAAGTGATTCACAAGGATGAATCTGTATTTGAAAGCTACTAATAAGTCCACATATTAGCAGGTGCCGGTGCAGCAGCAACCACAACAAGTCCAATATCAGCAGGTGCCAGTGCAGCAGCAGCAGGTTCATCAACAGCAGCAGCATATGCAGCCACCTGTACAACAACATCCACAACAAGTGCAACATCATCAGCAGCAGCAAGCTGGCGGACACCATCATGGACAGCCACAGCAAGTTTTGAACACGGGTAACATTCAGCAAGAGCGTGCGTAAGTGTCTGCTAGGTCTTATCTCTTGATTAACAATCGCAATCAATCAGTTCTACATATGGAAATAATCTTATCATTTGTTGTCTCACTACAGTCATATCCAAGAGCACATGCAGGTGCCTATCGATACGAGCAAAATGTCCGAGGCTGAGCTGCAATTCCATTATTTTAAAATGCACGATTCAGACAACAACAACAAATTGGACGGRTGTGAGCTGATCAAATCTTTAATTCACTGGCATGGTAAAAACCAATTGTTAAATCCTTTATGTTTGTAGTTAGTTAGAGCCTGTCTGCCTTAATTTTGCTTATGTTTGACTCATGTCTTTTGTTTTACTTCTTTTGCATATAACAAATTTCACTACATTTCGACTGGTTCCGGTTCTACTGGTTGTGGTTTTGGTTATGCTCGACATCATTTAAAACCATCCCGCATGTGGGTTTAATATTTCATAACGCAAATCAACAACATATGCAGAGCAAGGCAGCAAAGAACAACCTAACGGCGAGAAGCCCCATGTAGAGGAGAAGGTGTTCTCAGACGAAGAACTAGTGGCACTCATTGATCCCATACTCCAAATGGATGACACATCACGTGATGGCTTCATCGATTATCCCGAGTTTATTAAGGCTCAGCAGAAGGCTGCCGAAAAGCATCAACAACAGCAACAACAGCAGCAGGCACAACAGCAACCCACTCATTAGTATATAAAATGATCGATTCCGTTTTCATTATCCAATCCAGCATTGTTATGTCTTGGTCTAAATTCATGGCACACATTGTAATCCTGTTTCGCCACAACACAAAATCACACCCACACACACTACGTATTGAAATGAAATTTAGGCGCAAACAATTCCAGCTCAAATTGTAAAAAAATTCAAAAGTTCAAACAAATGTTTTGAATAGGCTACAAGCATTCCAATCCATCGGGCAACTTCTTTGAACAAATTGTATGATTAATAACAACTTCCCAAAAATTTCGAATAATAGCACACACGAATCTCATTTGTGATCAGTGCGATTGAACTATTTGTTTTTTGTTTAACCTTCCCCTAATATTAGTTATTCGTTCAATCTGAAGTTATTTTTAAGCGTCAACTAGAAACAGCGAAAACAAATCAAGGCTGATTGTGTAAACATTTGTTTTGTACAAAAGAAAAAAGTAATAAAACACAAACGTTCTGAATATATAACTAACATTTGATCTTAGAAATTGAAATATATACATAAATATATATTTTCTTTATAGGGACATAAAAATCATTGTAACTATTGCGTTTTTAGGAAATAAAAATGAAGTGAAAAAAAAATAAAATAATTATACTTAGTCAAACTATCCGTTAAATGACTTGGGGGAAAATTATCAAAATGAAATCACTTTTTACTGTCTTATTTCAGTTGAAGATCCCCACAAGCCAATTACACCGGGAGATGCTGCTGAAAAGCCGGATGAACCAGACCACAAAACAGGCAGCGTATATACCGATAAGGCTTTAGAGGATACCATAGACTACGTACTCAAATCCATGGACTTGAATAACGATGGCTATGTGGACTATGCTGAATATCGAAAAACAGAAGCGAAAATAGGCAAGGATTAGATGTGCAACAATTACCTAGAGAGCCATAGAACTTGACACAGATTTTAGATTTTTATTGCAGTTTGTTAATTATATGTTAATTTTTTTACTTTTTCATAATAAAATTGACTTCTGAATTCGAAACGTGCTCGAAAAAGTTATTCAATAGGCTGATGCAACCTTTTTAAGGAAAATTTGAAACATCACAAGATGTGGTTTACAAGGATTCTTAGTTGTTTGTAATAATTTGCTTTCCTTTTATATATTTGACTAAGAATATTTATTAAGTTGTTCACACAGCAAGCACCTCTTACGGTACAATCACAAACAACCGGCCGGCTAGTGGCATGAAAGCTGTCACCACACATAAAAGCTCCTTGATGGTTTTGAGCTTTCAATCTGCGTCGAAGCGTCGCGGTAAACAGTAGCACAAAATAGCGAGGCGAAAAATGTGTTGATAAAGACGCGAATGCCGAAGGGAATCGTTAAATAATATACCTAATAATAATAATTATAATTTAAAGTGCATATTTATATTTATTTGCCGCGTGTGCCCAAATATTTGAACGACCTAGATAACCATTTGCAATGTAAGCAAATATGGAAAAAGTGCACAAGAAAATAGTACTTTTGGACTAGTTTCAGTTTATGAATTGCATGCCACGAATTCCGTTGCTCGGGGTGACCCTGGCGGTGCAATTGTTGACTGAAAATAAATAGCCTCAAGCATGTCCGGGGCATGGATCCCCTGTGCGCATAGCACGTGCTTGCGTGCGGCTCTGAATTGGCCCATGTGTAAATATTTTCAGTTTCGTAAATAATATATGTGTTAGGAGTGGGTGTGATATCGATTTTGCCAAGAAGCCACCTGAAAACGTTGCGAGCGGGCTGCGTGGGGGTTGTTTGTTAGTGGAGCGATGTTTAGATAAGCCGGCCGGTATTTTCTGTACAAATATAATCATGTTATTATACCCTGAACCCGTCGGAAATGAGGAAACTATTTTAGTATACATTTAAAGGAAGGCGTGTCTGACAATGTTAAGGATTCATGTTCTTAACCAGCATTATATATATAAAGAGGGATAATCTCTCTAAGTCCCTCTAGGTTACTGGATTAATATAATATTGGTGTTTTCCAAGCACAGTCAGCTAATCATAGCTAACTTCTACTTGTCGTTTTTATTTTACAGGGCTGCAATGCAGTCCAGTAGCCGTCCCCGTGAGCGCCTGCTCTACGCCTTTCGTGGATGGATTGCGTTTGTTGCATTTATGGATCTGGGCACAGCGTTCCGAAGCTATATAGAACGCCGCAGTTTCCTAGGTGATCACAGCGATACACAATTCATCGAGGGTAAGAGCAATGTAATGTATGAACATATCCATGACTAAATTATAATCCTTTAGGTGATTATACCATTTCCCGTATAATTGGAATGTACTGTCTTCTAAAGGCAATAGCTTTGGTGCACTGTACGCTGTACATACACTATAGGCCGTAAGTATAAGATTACAATGAAGGGGACTACAGAAACATGGCTAATGACTTCCATTCCCTGTCCCGCTCACTCTTTACAGCGTTGTCAGCATGGGCGGTTGTTCTTTGGCTCTTACCATGGTCTTCTATGCCACCGAAGCACTCTACTTTCGTTCAAGCACTTTGAACTTTTACGTAATCTTCCCTTGCGTCTTGAACAGTAAGTAGATATATAGAAAATAAGCATGTATTAAACATATCTATGTATTATACAGCAATTACTCTACTGGGCCTCATATATATACCMAAAAGACTTCGTCTCTGGGAACCCAATATGGATCTGGATGATGAGAACTCGCAATTATTAAAACAAATGACTGGTTATAAAAGACGTCGTGCGAAAAAGCAATAATTTAATATTAATATTGATTGGAAACATCGAACAACTTCAACAGTTTGAATTGAGAACTTGGAGATTGAGATTGAGTTATAGAGCAATCAGATGTTGAATCCGTTAATGGACTGCAGTGATGTGATCAGATGCATCAAACAATACTTAATTAGCAATACTAACCAAAGCCAAATTAGTGATTTTCTATTAATTAAGAACAAAGGAGTTAACCTCAACATACATACGTCAATTGCTGACATAATCACATAAAAACATTTTGTACTTCCTTTTTAGAATACATATAAAATACATTATTAAACCATTATAGAGTTTATTACACTTTTAAAATATGACAATTAGATAATGCCATTAAATATATAAGTTCAGTTTAAATTTAAGATAAATGGCTTTAAATTTACAATCACGTTTATAATTAAATATTTATAGTATTATGTGGAATTTTTCCATTAAACTCACGAGTAGTTAATTGCAATATTTGCACGTTTGAAAATTTATATTTAGAGTTATATTCAACGATCATATACATACATATTTAGCAAAGATGCTTTGTATCACACGTAACCCAATATTTAATTAAATTATATTATAACAATAATAGTTTTAGCACCAACATGGTTCATGTTGATATATACTCAATAAAAAATGAAGTTATTCATGCCGAAAATTTTATATTTGTTATCTTTGTATTCTGCGTTGAGGTAGAAATGAATTTTCAAATAAACGACTTTTTCGATACTAAATTATGAAAAATATCGGTATCTTACAGCGCCATCGCTATTTAACAATAAAATTTTGTTAACAGAATATGTTTTACGATAAACATAGCTATTGAAACTATTATCTGTTATCGATATCCACGCTCTTCACCTGGCGCATTAAATTTTAAAAGAGATTACATCAATTAATTTAATAAAACTGCTGTTTTTAGACTTAATGAAACATAATGTACCGAAAATTGAAGAAGCGGAACAATGCCCTAACGGGACTGAACACAATTGATGAGAATGCAACGATAAAAATACCGGTAAGTGATTGTAGATCTTGCTCTGCATGAGAACAGGAAATAATTTCTATCATTTAACTTTTTTTTTAAAGCGAGTCTCGTCTGCAAAGCAAACAAATGCGACAATCGAGACAGTCAACAGCGAAAGTGAAGAGGAAAACATTCCAGCGTCCCAGGAGCAAACACAACGTTTTCTGTCTCAGCATAGTATAGCATTGGCCGCAACATTGGGGCGTACACAGTCTTCAGGTCGGATAAACAGTTCCCGCCAACCGAACAGCTTCTTTGAAATGGTACTGATGAACGCTGGTGTGCAACTGGACCAATCGGACACATTTGTGCTGTCCTGTGACCATATTGCTATTGTTTCTAAGCTACGTGATATATTGGTGCAGTCGCCGAAATATCCGGAAAATATTGAAACATTCAAGACAGGGCTAAATGCTGCCCTGGCGCCCAAATCGAAACTGGCCCAAAAGCTACTAAGTGGCTGCACTATAGACACAGCCGGTGAAGAACAGGTGTATCAATCACAGAACAGCATGTTTATCAACTTTCTAATGATTGACTTTCTACGGGAGCCCTGCCTGTCGGTTCTCTTCAACAGAATCGAAGAGGTTGCCAAATTGGAACGAGTGCAAACAATTCCCGGTTGCATTCCGCTGCTGCCTCTGATGCTTGCCCAATTGCGTTATCTCACGCTATCGCATAGTGATCAGATTTATACGCATATTGAGCGCATATTTAATAACGCCTCAGAGTCGTCCAAGATGGATATCATAAGCAGCGCAGAGTTTCTGTTAGATGCGAGTAAACACGATGAGTTTGTGGAGTTGCTTACGTGAGTGCTTTTTTATTATATTTACGGGATGCTCATTTAATTCTGATCTACTCAATTTTAGCATTAACTATTCGAGCAGCAAAGATCTTTTCCATTTGACTACGCTGCAAATGCTGAGCAATTTGACGCTAAACGCAAGGACTCAAGGAAAACTACGTGAGAGAATCCTAGAGTTTATCAAGGACGATAGCAGCTGCACGAATGTGGTAGGTCCCTCCCACTGTATGCTGTTAACTGTGAATCATTTACAAATATATGAATTTCATTGCAGACTCTACCGCATCTCATACGCCTTTTGCTAAATAGTCTTAATCAGGACACCGATGATGTTGTGCGTGAGGTACCTAATATTATATAGAATATATATACATATATAGATATATCTATCGTTTGTTTTAACGATGTTAATAATTTGTTTCTCTGGGCAGCTGGTCTCCACACTGCGTGAAATCTTTAATTGGCGACATAGATCACAAGTCGAAGGCTCTCAAGAGCTGGCTATTCCTGCAGCCAGTGAAAAACAATCACAGTTAGAACTCTTTGGTTTTCTGCAACAAGGTCTTAAGCGCTCCAAGCGCTTCTATCAAATGTGGCAACGTACGATTAGTGGCTTAGCGGCCAGCGAATTTCAGTAAGTCTTAATAAATTATTTATTTTTCTACCCGTTTCAAATGTTCTTTCAAAACTTGCAGATCGTTTGATTTTATAATGTTACTAATACTCATAGACATCAAC